ACATGTTGTGCAACTTTTTATCTGAGCCTTAAGGAGCTCGGATTAGCAATCATTTAAACCCTTCGTCTCCAGCATGTTTTCCTTAATTCGCTTTTTTTGCAAACCCCATATTGAATCATTATTAATGCATTTCGTCTATATTTTTGTTTTCTTTTCTTCCCCAGCTTCAGGGAGAGAGAGAAAAATCACAGACCGCACACGATGTTAATCTCGTGCCAGATTTCCTTTCTGGGGTTTCGCGTTAATGGTTCTGTGTTGCCGTTTTTTTTTTAACTTTGCAGTTTTATCGCTCGTTTCTTGCAGTGGAAGCCGAGGTTCCTGTGTTGGCTGCGACCGGTGTATGGCTTCATGGTTTCTTGAAACATCTTTCAAGCTTTGAAACTTGTCTTTGTAAGGTCATCTGTAACATCATATTATCACAAAACGTAATATCACAAAACGAACGCTGTAAAAATAGAAACCGGCTCTCTATCTATCTATCTATCTATCTATCTATCTATCTATCTATCTATCTATCTATCTATCTATCTATCTATCTATCTATCTATCTATCTATCTATCTATCTATCTATCTATCTATCTATCTATCTATCTATCTATCTATCTATCTATCTATCTATCTATCTATCTATCTATCTATCTATCTATCTATCTATCTATCTATCTATCTATCTATCTCTGTTTGCCCCCTCCCCAATCCTCCACTCTGTACCAACAGTACAAATATCAGACAAGGTACAGAGCTTGTGTTAACTTGTCAACCTCACCTATAGGGGAAGCGAAGGATAGTAACAGCGTATCCTACCAAGCATGTCGTAAGAGGCGACTTAAAACAGGGTTGGGGATAGTTCTTGCCACCCAGTCCATAAATACCTGCAGCCACAAACAACCGACGATAAACAAGTACCAAGGGCTTGCTACTAGATGCTTCTTCCTCTTCTTCGCGTTCACCAGCGGAAAGTTTTGGTTGTTCGCCCACTTGTGGACTTAAGTCTTAACCAAGAACCTGATTGTTAAGTGCACACCCATTTTACAGATCTGGTGTATGTGTGTGCAGACTGCTGGTTCCTTGCCTCTTAAACAGATGCACTCAGACTTCAAAAGGAAAAACGACGTACTTGATAGGTGGCAGTGTATCCTATTCTTCTCCCTTCCCCCACAGTGGAGCCCTAGAACCCTTGAACTTCATAGTAATGGTTTGTGTCGTGTTTATTTATTAATCTCTCTCTTTCTCTCTCTCTCTCTCTCTCTCATAGTAATGGTTTCTCTCGTCTCTCTCTAATCTCTCTCTCTCTCTCTCTCTCTCTCTCTCTCTCTCTCTCTCTCTCTCTCATCAGCAAGCTGAGAACCGCTCTAGCAGATGGTCACAGTTTAAAAGAAATGTTGGAAATACGCGAAACAAATTTATTTTGAATAAACATGTCAAGAGGGATAACCCTAGTCTGAAGTTATCAGAGTTATGATTAATGGCTTGCCCCTGCTGCTACCATCGTCATCATCATCATGAAACACGGCGACTAGCACGGGTGGTACCCCTATTGAATGCTGCTATGATTATCGTTGATACTGTTCTTGTGGAGGCTATAGCTCTCTGTATCCATTGAGCACCTGTTGCGTGGCGGCTAGTGCGTTTGGCCGCTAAAACAGTGGTCCGGTTTTAATCTTCACCACATCCTCGTGTGAGTTCCCAGGCCCCATTTTTTGGGGAGTCGGCAGGGCTGAGTGGGAATGGCTCTACTGCAAAACATCAAGGTTCAAGTAAAAATACTGGCAGAAAATATACAGGCCCCTCTTGAAACTAAGAGACTTATTTTAAAAATATTTTCTTTATAACAGCTCAAAAGAAGGTGCTTGGTGATGTTTTAATGGGTACTGAATGTGTTCAGTGTAAACAAAAATACACAACATAAACTTAAAGGGTCACGAGGTGCTTCTAAATTTGACATTTCACGGTTTAAAAAAAAAAAAATTCAGGCATCAAAACCAAAGTCCACAGGAATTTTAGCATTTACAATATAATTTCAAAATCGTGTTGTGAAATCAAAAAAAACATTGCTGCCTTTCTCTGTTATATATTGTCAGTGAAGAGCAATTCTCTGATTGCACAGCGACCAAAACAAAATAAAGAAACCGTTTAAATGCAGAACCAAACATTAACCCACAATTATCACCTGACTTGAAAAAAAAAAAAAAAATACAAACTAGGAACCACATGTGTCTTCTTAAACGTTTAAAGATTGTTTTATGCAGCTGATTGCTTCTGTGAGGAAATTAATAATAAACTATAAACATTCATTAACCGGTGCCTGCGCAGAATAGAGGGAATTAAATGGTATGATACCCCCGTGTGGGTTCCGGGGCCCTTTTGTGGGGAAAACAAGAATAGACCCACTGCCTCCCCAAAAGCATGTCGTAAGAGTCGACTAACTGGGGAGCTTCCTTTGAAGTCGGAGTGCATCTGCCTGAGAGGCAAGGAACCAGCAGTCTGCATTCAATTGAATCAGATCTGTAAAACTGATGCACACGCAACACTCAGGTTCTGGAACAGGACTGCAGTCCAGAAGTGGACGAACAACCAGAACTTTACACCAGAGTTTACAGCTGGTGAACGCGAAGAAGAAGAAGAAAGAAGAAGAAATGGTATGATAGAATCCCTAACGCAAAGCTCTGAGAGAGAAATAAACAAGTTCCAGTGAAGAAAAAATGCTGGCGTTGGATAGGACACACTTTGAGAAAGCCTGGGAATAGTATAACTAGAGTGTCTTTGCACTGGAACCCACAGTGGCATAGGAAATAAAAGAAGGGAAAAAACCAGAAGGGAGCTAGAGAGCAAAGTTAAAAAGATAGGGAGGACACGGGGAGAGCTGAATAAGATAGCGAAAGATAGAACGACCTGGCGTTAGTTGGTTGAGGGCCTATGCTCCATTAGGAGTTAAAGGCAGAAGAACAAAAAAGCCACTAGGACGCTACATGGTTCGCTGGAAAGATAACATCTGACAATCCCTGACAGACCTCTACACTCTAGTTTAGAAGACGATCAACGGTTCTTTCATAATATACTACCCCAGATGACGTCATAGGACACTCCAACATTTTAGAGGGTGGTAAGACTGGGTTTCCCGGCATCCTGGTGCTTTTAACGACCCCAGAACGTCTAGAACTGGCCCTAACCCCAACCCACCTACATCCCACGAGAGAGTGCAGCCTAGGTCCCACGACTGCATGCAGCCTATCTACTATCCCCTTAACTCTTTAAGGCCCAAACAACGGTGTGAGCGTAGTTTGAGAAGTTCCGTTCTGCCCAAACAACGGTGTCATCGTTAATCGTGTATGTCTTACATTTTGCTTTGCATGCGCGTTCGTACTAGTTTCTAATGTTTGGAGGTACGAAAAACCTATTCAGGGAAAGACACTCTGCCGAAATCCTTTTAGTTTCGGTTCTTGGACTAAACCACACGTGGATAATTTGTGAAAAAAAAACATCAAAATTTTTTTAAAGAGTTAAAGATGATAGGTACTTGAGTACTGACGATAGTGGAGACCGAGTAGACTGTGGCAAATAACGATGTATGGTTTAAGACTAACTCCCAACCTTTGTGATTTCTTACTTACTTGCTTACCCACATAGTCGATCGGGTGCTTTCTTAATATTCTACCCAAAACAGCTGAAATCCACAGTCTAATATTTAATGTTTTTTTTTTCCACAATTCTCATTCTTCCTTACTGTTATTAACCTCTCCAAAAACGACACAAGACGGACTTGCCTTTCACTGTCTAATGAACCCAGAGAAATATAAAAGAGAACGCGGAGTTTGAAAAAAAAAATGTTGGTGCAAGGGAAATAATGATGCTTTAATAGTGTTTTATTTTGTGGCAAAAATCATCGCCTCCCTTTGAATATTTTCAGATTTTTCCTAAAAATAAGTTGGCTCTGTGGCTAAGTAGATGCAAACGCTTCGTAGTGCGGGGTTCGATCCCAGATGCGGGCCATGCGCCTTGCGTTGGTTTCGACAGTGGTATAAAGAAAGCCGACCGCCCAGAAAGCAATGGCAAACTACTGGACGTAAATTTGCCTAGAAAAACCACACAACAGCCAGGGGCTGTTGGGGTTGGTTCTGCAAGGTCCTGTAAAGGGTACGCAACTTACTAACCTAAAAAAAAAAAAGTAGAAACATGGTAATATTTAAACACACCAGGGAAACACAAACTGAATTATAATCGGTTGTGGCTAGAACTACAGTAGAATGAAACTACAAACAAACCCAAACTGGACAATCGGCTACGATGTAACTGCGAGTCCCCTAATATAACTCTAACAGTTAAATAAAGTTTTCTCCATGTGCGTTCCGGGGCACCATTGTGGGGGAGTGCCTGGTTTTCCCAAGTTTCTCCATTTCTAATAGGGGGGGGCTGCTTCTTTTTTAACCGGGGGTTCTTAAATCTATTTTCCATCGGGGATCTGGCATACTGAGGAGACTTGTAAGAATAGAGCCACTGCCTCCCCATGAAGCATGTTGTAGGAGTCAACTAACTGGAAACTTCATTCGAAGTCAGTGCATCTGTCCGAGTAGAAAGGAACAACGAACTGTATACAAAAAAGCCAGTAAAACGGATGTGCACGCAAAACTCACGTCCTGGTACTAAAACCAAAATCTAAAGAAACGAAAAATAAGGACTTGTGCTAGAGCTTACAGTCAGGGAACAAAGAAGAAAAGAAGAAGGAGAAATAAAATTTCTGCGAGTTGCTCCTACTGGACTCTCATCCAAACTGTATCTTTGAGTCACTGGTTTTAATTGTTCATACTTGAAATTAGTTCATACTTGAAATTAGTTTATAGTTGAAATTAGTTCATACTTGAAATTAGTTCATACTTGAAATTACTTCATACTTGAAATTAGTTCATACTTGAAATTAGTTCATACTTGAAAAGTAAAATGATAATAACAGACCTACACAGTACTGGTTAGATCCTCAGCACTGGTTAGATCCTAGAACTGGTTAGATCCTAGAACTGGTTATATCCATAGTACTGGTTAGATCCATATTACTGGTTAGGTACATATTACTGGTTAGATCCATATTACTGGTTAGGTACATATTACTGGTTAGATCCATATTACTGGTTAGATCCATATTACTGGTTAGGTACATAGTACTGGTTAGATCCATATTACTGGTTAGATCCATAGTACTGTTTAGATCCATATTACTGGTTAGATCCATAGTACTGTTTAGATCCATATTACTGGTTAGATCGATAGTACTGTTTAGATCCATATTACTGGTTAGATCCATAGTACTGTTTAGATCCATATTACTGGTTAGATCCATAGTACTGTTTAGATCCATATTACTGGTTAGATCCATAGTACTGTTTAGATCCATATTACTGGTTAGATCCAGCCACTGCCTCCCCATGAAAAAAGTACTGTTTAGATCCATATTACTGGTTAGATCCATAGTACTGTTTAGATCCATATTACTGGTTAAATCCATAGTACTGGTTAGATCCATATTACTGGTTAGGTACATATTACTGGTTAGATCCATATTACTGGTTAGGTACATATTACTGGTTAGATCCATATTACTGGTTAGATCCATATTACTGGTTAGGTACATAGTACTGGTTAGATCCATATTACTGGTTAAGTACATATTACTGGTTAGATCCATATTACTGGTTAGATCCATAGTACTGGTTAGATCCATATTACTGGTTAGATCCATAGTACTGTTTAGATCCATATTACTGGTTAGATCCATAGTACTGTTTAGATCCATATTACTGGTTAGATCCATAGTACTGTTTAGATCCATATTACTGGTTAGATCCATATTACTGGTTAGGTACATATTACTGGTTAGATCCATAGTACTGTTTAGATCCATATTATTGGTTAGATCCATAGTACTGTTTAGATCCATATCACTGGTTAGATCCATAGTACTGTTTAGATCCATATTACTGGTTAGATCCATAGTACTGTTTAGATCCATATTACTGTTTAGATCCATAGTACTGTTTAGATCCATATTACTGGTTAGATCCATAGTACTGTTTAGATCCATATTACTGGTTAGATCCATAGTACTGTTTAGATCCATATTACTGGTTAGATCCATAGTACTGGTTAGATCCATATTACTGGTTAGATCCATAGTACTGGTTAGATCCATATTACTGGTTAGATCCATAGTACTGGTTAGATCCATAGTACTGGTTAGATCCATATTACTGGTTAGATCCATAGTACTGGTTAGATCCATATTACTGGTTAGATCCATAGTACTGGTTAGATCCATATTACTGGTTAGATCCATAGTACTGGTTAGATCCATATTACTGGTTAGGTACATATTACTGGTTAGATCCATATTACTGGTTAGATCCATAGTACTGGTTAGATCCATATTACTGGTTAGATCCATAGTACTGTTTAGATCCATAGTACTGGTTAGATCCATAGTACTGGTTAGATCCATAGTACTGTTTAGATCCATAGTACTGTTTAGATCCATAGTACTGGTTAGATCCATAGTACTGGTATTTCCGTAGTACTGGTTAGATCCATAGTACTGGTTAGATCCATAGTACTGGTATTTCCGTAGTACTGGTTAGATCCATATTACTGGTTAGATCCATAGTACTGGTTAGATCCATAGTACTGGTTAGATCCATATTACTGGTTAGATCCATAGTACTGGTATTTCCGTAGTACTGGTTAGATCCATAGCACTGGTTAGATCCATAGTACTGGTTAGATCCATAGTACTGGTTAGATCCATAGTACTGGTATTTCCGTAGTACTGGTTAGATCCATAGAACTGGTTAGATCCATAGTACTGGTTAGATCCATAGTACTGGTTAGATCCATAGTACTGGTATTTCCGTAGTACTGGTTAGATCCATAGTACTGGTTAGATCCATAGTACTGGTTAGATCAATAGTACTGGTTAGATCCATAGTACTGGTTAGATCCATAGTACTGTTTAGATCCATAGTACTGGTTAGATCTGTAGTACTAGATCCCAGAGAAGAATTTCTTCTTTGTTTGGCAACCTAGCGGCACAAATAAAGATACAGGACAACTGGCTAGATGACTATACAACACAGTCGATCTGGCGACACTCGGTAAAATATTTACTACATGATTACAATATTTACATCAAATTGTAGCAAAGGAAAGATTAAACGCTACTAATCTGACATATTACCCAGGTAGAAGAAGAAAGACTAAACATTGCACAATTAACATCCAAACTGAAAGAGGAAAGACTAAGAAGCACTGTTATACAGTCAAGCAGTTTATGATACATCTTGTACCTACTCTAGGAAGTTTGTAATCACTGCGACTGGTTGAGCAAGCTAGCAGTGGTTTATTTAGTAACAGTAGAAAAATTAAGTGATCTCACAAATAACGGTTAACAGAGCTAGGGATCGACATCATAAGAAGATGGGCCGCAGAAAAATTGGTGACACTGAAAAGTACTATATTCGAAAGACAAACAGAAAGGCTTGTTCCAGAGATTTATTCCTGCCGTATCGCTGCGAGGCATTCCAGGAGTAGAAGAAAGATGAAGATATGGACAGACTACTGCTTATCACTGCCTGTATTATACCATATTAGCTGTGTAGGCAGGGGGGTCTTTGAGTCTGAGGATTTACGGCCGCATGGCTAGTGCTGTCGCCACGACTATGCAGGTGAGGTGGTTTTATTTTGCCCCCAACATAAAAAATTCCCAGTCTTACCGAGGATTTGAACCTGGGTCTTCCGCTTGACAGCCCAGTGTTCTAACCGTTCAGCCAGCCACTTCTTGGACAGACTAAATATTACCATAAAAGAAGAGAAGTGTGGGACTAAATAATCACATGAAAACAATTTTGAAGTTTAAATTTCAAATTACTAATTGATTTTAGTAACTAACGATTGTTTGAAAGAAGCTAATGAAAATAGATCTATATACAACAATAAAAACGAGACAAACACTGTTCTTTGGTCACATAATGAGAAGAGAGTCATTGGAGAACATCGTGACCACTGGAAAGATCAGTGGAAAAAAGGGGTAGAGGCAGACCAAGAGAGATGATGCTAGATGGGCTCAAACAATGGCATGGAGGGATATCATCAAGAGAGCTGTTCCAGGCAACCAGGGATCATGATCTGTGGAGATACATGTGCGACTACGCCAGTTGGCAGGGCACATGATGATGATGATGATGATAATGACGAATTGACTTTTGAAGTTTTCAACAGCAAACAAAGATAAAACTAAACACAAACAGAAATGTAAGCAACAAGAAACGCAGCATTTTATTTCATTATGCATAAATATAATGATGTGTTAACATTGAGAATCAGTGTGTGGGTTCTGGAAAGTGTGGGGGGGGGGGGGGGAAGAAGGGGAGGGGGATAACAGATTCACTGCCTTACTAACACGCATGTTATAAGAGTCGACTTTTTAAGGAAGTTAAGTTGTTGAGTGCATCTGCCTGAGAGGCAAGCAACTAACAATCTGCATAAGAATAATCCAGATCTGTAAAAAAGATAACAGATGTGCATACAAAACTCAAGCTCTGGAACAAGATTCAAAAGTGGATGAATACCCACAGTGTTCTTCCAGAGTTTACAGCACACATCCAGAGTTTACAGCACACATCCAGAGTTTACAGCACACATCCAGAGTTTACAGCACACATCCAGAGTTTACAGCACACATCCAGAGTTTACAGCACACATCCAGAGTTTACAGCACACATCCAGAGTTTACAGCACACTTCCAGAGTTTACAGCACACATCCAGAGTTTACAGCACACTTCCAGAGTTTACAGCACACATCCAGAGTTTACAGCACACATCCAGAGTTTACAGCACACATCCAGAGTTTACAGCACACATCCAGAGTTTACAGCACACATCCAGAGTTTAAGCACACATCCAGAGTTTACAGCACACATCCAGAGTTTACAGCACACATCCAGAGTTTACAGCACACATCCAGAGTTTACAGCACACATCCAGAGTTTACAGCACACATGGGCTCTCTAGGTTTAGACTTAGAGCAGATTTATCACGTCTGCTACATGGGATTTAGGTTTACCATTGCCAACAGACTCCAAAACCAATGCCCAGGGAGAAAGACCAGAGAAGCTGAAACTTTGTTAAAGTGCTGGAACTCTTGTAAACAAGGCTGAATATGGTAAAATGGTCTGAGACTAGGATAAACATTGTAGAAGGGCCTGAAAACAGGGGCTGAATATGGAAAAAGGGTTAAAACTATGGTAAACAGGGCTGACTAGGGTTAAAAGTGCTGAAACTATGGTAAAAAGGAATGAATATGGTAAAATAGTCTGAAATTAGGATAAAAATTGTAGAAGGGCCTGAAAACAGGGGCTGAATATGGAAAAAGGGCTAAAACTATGGTAATTAGGGTTAAAAGTGCTGAAAATATGGTAAAAAGGACTGACATGATGGTAAAAAGGCTTTTGTCACAAGTTGTGTTATTAGGAGTGGATGTTTCTTGGATAAAGTTTCCTGTCTAATTGAATGTTCACTTGTGTTAGAATAGAGACGAGCTGAGAATAACAACTGGTTTTCTATATGCCCTATTGTGTATGTTCAGATTATTTAAGTGATGTAGATGTTAAAAATAATGATCTTAAAAATGATGACAGCAATGGTGGTGATGACAGCAATGGTGGTGATGACAGCAATAGTGGTGATGACAGCAATGGTGGTGATGACAGCAATGGTGGTGATGACAGCAATGGTGGTGATGACAGCAATAGTGGTGATGACAGCAATGGTGGTGATGACAGCAATAGTGGTGATAACAGCGACTGGCACTGCAAAACTAACAGTCTATGTTTTTAATTTTATTTACTTACCAGATTACAACACCAGCATATTGTCAATGCTGAAACCCCAGTAAACCAAACTGTTCAGCATCCATGATAGTTAATTGTAAAATAAAATGTGTTTTTTTATAATTATTTTGGTTATTTATACTTTGTAACTGGACAATCGGTAGGCAAGCCAAACAATTTCTAGAGGCCTCAGAGATGTGGTTTTACAGAAGAATGCTTAGAATACCTTGGACAGCCAAAAAGAGCAACCAAGAGGTTTTGAAAGAGGCGGAAGGCCGAAGACAACTTATCACAGACATCAGAAGGAGACAGTCATCATTTTTCGGCCATGTTATGAGAAGAGGGAAAATAGAACATGTTGTGACCACTGGAAAGATCAGTGGAAGGAGAGATAGAGGAAGACAACGAGAGAAGATGCTTGACAGTCTTGTTGCATGGCATGGAGGTGTGTCGGCACACGAACTTATACATGCTGCAGAAGATCGCAGATTATGGAGAGGCATGATCGCCCAAGCCATTCGACAAGGCACCTGATGATGATGATGATACTTTGTAAGTATGATCACTATGAAGAAACTTAACATCAAAAGAGACAACAACAATTACATTGTTTTTGAGGATTTATTCCCTGATTTACTTTTTAAATATGCCCATTGTGTAAAATCTTGACATTAGTGTGTATATATATATATATATATATATATATATATATATATATATATATATATATATATATATATATATATATAAAATAAATCCACTTAATTAAGCCCCTTTAACGTTTTTTCAATACAGTGCCTACAGTTACCTTTGCAACTTGCATCTAGTACCCATGAACGTGACTTAAGGCAAATTACAGTGACAGGATCAGCTCCGGTGTGTCAGGTGTGATCCCACCAGGCTCAGTCTCTCATTCAAGACTGGTCTGCTGACAGTGCTGCATGTAATTATAAGCTAAATAATAGACTTCCGGTCAAAATGGACGCTAGGCACGGGCACTGTTTGGAACCTCGGCAAAATTTTTGCTTCTGCCAGATAGTGGCCGTTGCATTTTGCTCCATTTGGATATAGTTTTGTCGCCCAGCTTCTGAGCTGAGTGCATGGCGTGACACTATGAGCTGTTGATTTCATTTGGAATGTTTTTTCTACCGTGACCAACCTGGTGGTGTGAATTGTAGATTCAGAAAATGACGCAATGCCTGTTGTCGCAATATTTGTGGGGCCTTATGTGATTAAAATTGATCGCGTGTGCAACTGCTGATCTGTTGGTGACTTCTGCTACTATCCATGATGAACCGCATTTCTAATGTCGGACTGTTTGTGTTAGCACTTCGAATGGCTACTGTATGCTTTAATGCGTGTGTATGCTAGATATGCTGAGACTGTCAATCTTTCCACAAGGGACTGTGATAAACATTCTGTGTGTTTTTTGTTGGCACAGGAGCGGAGCAACTATGGGGTGACACGTTTGTTATGAAGCTGAAACTAAGACTACCAGACTACCAGACTACCAGACCAGACTACCATATCAGACTACCAGATTACCAGACGTTTAGGGACTCAAAATCTGCAGGCGTCTAACAATGATTTCTGTGTTTTGTTTTACATCTTGATACACTTCACGATCAATGATTTTCTGTGTTTGGGAATTCAAGGAAAAAAAATTTGAAGTTGTAACTTACAGGCTTTTAGGGGATTATATCATTTCTGCGATTTTGCAACATTTTTTATTATTCCTTTTAATAAAAATGTAACAATATATTTAGACTATCCATATATTTAAAAAAGTATATATTTTAAAGCTCGCTGTAATTAGCTGGTGTGATTTAAAGTGGTAGGGGCCTCAGGGCTTTATACAGCTTGAGGCCTGATCAAGTCCAAATCCAGCCCTGCTTGCTGACTCCTGAGAACATTGTGGAATCAGCAAGTTGATGGCTAAACATTTCTTGTAAGAATGTCCAACATAAGCTTAATGGAGAAATAGGATATCCCAACTACTGTATCCTGCATGGATTGGGACCCGCTCCATCTGAAAACAAACTCTTTGGAGATGTCAACAATTTCAAGCTGACAGCGGCTTTACCAAAAATATTCATACTGATGTCTGAAGGTGTACGAAGGAGAAGAATGCAAACAATATAGATTCCTCCTGTGGGTTTTAGAGCCCTATCATGGGGGAGAACAAGAACAGACCCATTGCCTGCCTTACATACATGTTGTGAGAGTCGACTAATTTGGGGTTTTCCTCAAAGTCGGAGTGTTTCTGCTTGAGAGACAAGGAACCAACAGTCTGCATAGAAATAACCCAGATCTGTAAAACAGATATACACACACCACTCTCAAGTTCTGGAACAAGACTAGAGTCCAATAGTGGATGCAAAAGAAGAAGAAGAAACAATGTGGATGCGAAAGAAGAAGAAGAAACAAAGTGGGTGCAAAAGAAGAAGAAGAAACAATGTGGATGCGAAAGAAGAAGAAGAAACAATGTGGATGGCAACATGTTTTGGAATAATTTAATTTAAGGGTTTTTTTTGAGTTCCATGCTGGCAAAAAAAAAAAAAGGCTTAATAATGATGACTTGTGCGTAAGCAAAAACATTATGTAGTATCAAAGTTGTCAGGATACTTTTTGGAAACATTCAATTACAGCAATACATGTTATACAAATGTTTAAAAAATCAACTGGCATCTTTTTAAAAACTGTGACCATACAGCATGAAACAAAACAAAAACAATATCAAGGCAAGAGATGGAACCACTGAAGGAGAGGGGCTTGAGAAGTTCAAAACTTCAGAATGAACGTTCAGGAAGAATGTCTTGTAACCTTTGACCACTGTTGCCCTAAGAATATCAGAATAGAAAATGTACAAATGATTCTTCAGAGGACAAGCATCTGATCATAAAAAGAAAAATATAATAATGCAAAAATTACTAAGATAATAATGAAGATATATTATGTCTGACCATCTTAACTGATCAACTTAATGACTGATCATCTGACTGATTGTCTGTCTAACTTCTGTCTATCTCATCTAATTCACTTAATGACCGGTCATCTGATTAACTGTTTAATCTGACTTAATGACTGATTATCTGATTGTGACTGCTGTCTAGCTGACTGTCAGTCTATCTTACCTGACTTAATGACTGGTCACCTGACTGACTTAATGATGTGACTGCTGTCTAGCTGACTGTCAGTCTATCTCACCTGACTTAATGACTGGTCACCTGACTGACTAACTCTCTGTATTATCTAACTGGTCACATGATTATCCGTCTATCTTATTTTGTTAACTTTATGACCAATCGTTTGACTGACTGTTTAGAAGTACTTACGTAAATCGAACATTCTCTATTGTTTCATTGGGTGCCGTCCATTTCATGGTGGTGGAGTTGAAGTGGTAGTGGGTGGCATGTGTCAAAGCTTGGTTTTTCTAACAAATATAGGGTAAAGATCAATCACAGTGCAGCCACATGTGGAAGGTTGTAAAATGCTAAATGTATCATAACATGCAGATCTGATAATAGTTCTTCTTATCAGAAATTCCTCTTATCCAGCTAAGAATTAGAGAAAGAAAAATTGCTAAAATCGAAGAAATTGATCTCCACAACAGAAACTCGCCACATTCGAGATTGCCTGAAGATATTTGAATGTGTATATGGTACATCACTGTCATATGAGATGGACTGGTTGTTGATCTTCTTCATCAGTTACTCACCTCAGCCTATGAGCAAGGCAGTAAACAGACAAAAAGACAGGTAGACAGAGGAGTAATTACCTGTATACACACAGATAAGGCAGGACAGACAGACAGGCAGAGAATTCAATCATGCGTGTATATTGTAATAATTCCCCCTGTAGTCACTCTGGCTGATTGTGAGCTACAACTTGGGAACAGATACAACAAGCGCACTCAAATTCCGATGTAAATTATGCCCGTTTTTTGCTCCAAATTCTCACACTTCTCAAAATCAGTTTAGTCAATCAGAGCCCTCACTGCCCTCTTCCGTAATAATCATTTACAAGAGGTTTAATACATTTTAGTCAAACTACATCACAACTGTCTTCCTCGGACTCTGGTATCCAGTGACCATTAGCCAACCCTGGGCTTTTCCTCGTTGATCGCTCCAGCTCCGAATATCCCTCGCCAATCGTCTTTTGGATGGGTTTTCTGCCCGGCTTGCTGTGAGCGTGGGACACCACGCAAAGCACATCATCACATATATGAAGAGATACAAGATACACAGGCAAGCAGTTGTTTTGGGTTCTTTTATTTTATTTAACTCCACCTCAGAGACTCTTAGATTTCGTAGGGAATTCTCAGGAAAGTCTAATAGTATAGGTATGTTAGGGTGTGAAATGAACACCAACTAAGACTAACCTCCTAAAATGTTGAAATTTCTGGAGAATTCTCTACGAAATTTCAGAGTTGCCGAGATAGGGTGAAATAAAATAAAAGAATCATTTTTAGTTCAAGACGGCACTAGACCTAATGGTCACTGTCTGCCGCACACTCCAGCAGGAGAAGAGCAAACATGTCTGCCATACAGAGCTGCAGCAGTCATACTTACACAGAGGGCTTTCGTGTCGTTGGAGAGTGCGGTGAAGGTACCATATTTTCTCGCGACACCCTGAGACGTCTGCACCGTCACATCTCTCACCTGGATCAGGAATCCCTCAAAATAATACTCATCTGCCTGCAGCGTCACTGAAATCACAGAAAATAAAATGGTGCAAAATTATCAACATGTTATATTGTGTTACTTTGGGAGCTGGGGAAACATGGAGACTGATAGAGACAAAGAGGCATACAGACAGATAGAGACAGAAAGAGAGACAGACAGAGAGAGTGAGAGAGAGAACGAGAGAGACATGCTTCTTTTAATCAAAACCAGGTGGTTCCTGGGGTTCACCCAGCCTCTAGGAAATTGGTACCAGAGTTGACACTCTGGGGTAAATGGAGGAACGTCGCTGTAGCTACGGGATTTCGTGCGGACGGCGACACAGGTAGACAGTTTCTCATCAGCTGTTCGTACTGGTGGCAGAGCACTTATGGTTTATAACCGTGTACAATGACGCTGATTCACATCTCCCAACTTTACCTTTTTTATATTAAAAAAGGTAACTAATCCGTTCCTGTTATATTTACACCCACAGCGCATATTATGCTAATTACCTCCCTTCTAAAGTAATTCTAACCAGTCTTTTTTCCCGTTACGATGCCAATTTTGGGCCAGAAAAAAAAAATGAAATGAAGATAACGGAAAATGAGGAAGTTGAATATTGCCCTGCCCAAAATGGGACGAAGTTTTTATTTTTATTTTAAAGCTCCATCCTGGCTGTTGTCGGGGTCCCTAAATATAACCAACCGGTTGAATGGGGTTTCTGGGATTCTCATCCGAATGGTGGCATTTGGTGTCACCGGGTGTTAACTGGTCGTCGTGTGGTCCTGGTAGGGGTTGAACGTGAGACAGTGAGAAGTTGACTTTGAGAAGATGTTGAAAAAATAAGGGACAGAGAGAAGACGATAAACGCAGAGGTGAGGAGAGGTGCAAGTGTTACAAAAATCAATCTTTAAGACCAAGGATTAGATAAACTTAACTAAATGATGATGTTTTCATGTGGCAGATCTCCTAACAAAAGTTTTTTCTAACAATTGGACGGAATAACCCGGATGCATTCTCCCTGACATGAAATCCAAAATGTAGCTCCTGGGTCCCTTTGGCGTTAATCTGATATCAGGCAGCAAGCCTGGGACAAACAGACGTACAGAGAGAGAAGAGAAGAAGGGGTGGGGAGAGGAGGGAAGAGGGAGTGGGGAGAGGAGGGAAGAGGGGGTCATTAGAGGAGGGAAGAGAGAGTGGGGGAGAGGAGGAAAGAGGGGTGGGGAGAGAAAGAGATATAATGAGTGTGAGAGATAGATTGGAGAGGTTTCTAGTTTTTCCATTCCAGAATTGCTGCATGTAGGATTGACAACTTAAGGATGAGAATCAAACAGGTACAGGTAACAATGGCCCTTTAAACCGTAATTCACAAGATAGAATGGACAGTTTGAAGACGTTATGGACAGTGCTGGGTACCGAAATTAAATCCCACGCATACATAATTAATTAACCAGTGGTTTGTTTACAGGACTCGAGGGTTTAGAATCTGACCTTGAACTTCTTCCCCAGGATTGACCTTTGTCTTGTCAACGACGATGCTGTAGAAAGGTTTGCCGGTCTGGGGCGCTATCAGGGATGAAGTGGGATCTTCCGGTTTCGTGTGGTGTCCAGGATACATGATCTCGCACGTTCCCTCTGGGGCTCCATCAGGGTAACCAGCGACCATATAGTGACCTCGAAAAACAGTTCCACAGACGGTCAAGATGAACAGAATGGCGTGATTCATAGCTGCGACTTGTACTAACTATTCTGAAAAAATTATACACGCACACATACAAAACCAAAATTAAGTTCAATAAAAGACAGTTATTAAGTAATAACTATGAAGTTCGAGCAGACAGCATTTTCTTCGTCTTCACCGGCTTTAAACTCCGGCGAAAAGTTCTGGTTGTTCGTCCACTTCTGGAGTCTAGTCCTGTTCCAAAAACTGAGTGTGGCATGCACATCCGTTTCACGGGTCTGACTCATTTGCACGCAGACTGATGGTTCCTTGCCTCTCAGGCAGATGTACTTTTAACATTTTCTACTCCTAATACATGCTTATGGGCAGGCAGTGGGTATATTCTTGTTTTCCAACAGTAGGGCCCCGGAACATACACGGGGAAGCTCGAAATCGAAAAGAGTAGCCTAACAACGGCGCTGCATGGGCAAAATTTGGACTTTAAAATCTATCCAAAGTATTTCAGGATCCTCGCCGGTGCTACGGAGTTCGTGCACTGCGCTAGCATTCGTCTGACTCAGGCTTGAGTTAAAAGTAAAAAGGAGCACTTATGGGTTACTACATTGTGCCATGATGTTGATCTGTTGTTTAAACCTATAAGAAACCTATATACTCTGAGGCCACAGTTCGTCCATCGCTTAATGTCATTCTCTAACATGTATCGCAAACCCCTCATTAGTCGCCTTTTACGACATGCTTATCGTAGAACAGTAGGTCTACTCTCTCTTCCCCCATTTCCCATCACCAGTTTCATCCTCAATGACTTGTTCACATTTGCTTTATCTGAACCGTTTCACCAGCACGACCCAGAACCAGATGTTGGCAGATCTAGTGATTGATGCCCGCGCTAGCGTCTGCCATATTGGCTTAATGTGGTGCCTGCTGACTTCAGCTATTAGATTGATGGCTTTGTTGGCGGATCAACGTTCTCAGTCTCGTTCAGGGGGAAAAACCAATTGACGCCATAACATGTCACTGTTGCGCGTCCACTACGGTGTGATCATGTTTGGATAGTATTGCCGACTGAGTAATTCAAACTATGTTTATGTTGGTGAGGGTGGAGGGTTTCCCACTGCCATCACGATAAGCATATAGGGTAAAACAAACGTTACCCCCCCCCCCCCCCCCCCCCCCAATCTACACACCGGTACACACTAGCTCACTTCTGACTGGTCGGCCTTGAGCCACGTGTCTTTGGCACAAGTTAACGGGGGTCTGTGACGAAACCTATGTCTCAGGCATTCTCTTTCTGGGAATAAAAACGTAAATGCAAGAAAGACAACACAGATAGCAAACAGAACGGCACACCCGTAAACCCCCAACAGGTTAGACAAGTCCAAAAAAGTTATCAATGGAGCGTGACCTACTTTCCGCGGGGAGACTAACGTTTGTTTGACCAGCATATAGTCCCCCCCCCCCCCCCCCCCCCGCCCTTTTTTTTTCTCTCCAGGATTGCAGTCTTCAATTTTAACACAACAAGGGGGAGAATCCTACATTTACAAATTCCGGAAGCCCTGTCAAACGCACAGCAGTTATACTGGAGTTCCCAAAGGAAACGTAGTAACCTGAAGGATGAAAAAACATTGCCGTCGTGTTTAGGAAGTCTTTCTCTAGCTTTCAGTTGAGCCAGGAACTGGTATGACAGCACTCCATATGATAGGTTTTGTTGCACTGGGAGTCATCCATTTGCTTCTGCCATGAACACATGTGGCGTCCGTTGGCCAATCACTGCATTAGAACTTCTCGTCCTTTTTAGGATGATATTTTTCGTTATTTGAAGCCCTACTCTGGCTTTTGCCAGGGGCTGCAATATAGCCTGGCCATAAATATGGCCTAAAGGCTGAACGCGGTTTCTGGGACCTCTCCACGGTGATCCTCACCCGCATGGTGGCACATTGTGTCATCGGGTGTTTATCGCTTGTGTGATGTCCTGGCAGGGTAGAAAGTCAATCAGTCAGTCACCAAAATGTTGAAATCCTTCAGTGCCAACAAGTGCCACAAACAAATGGTCATAAGAGGGTATACTCATTATAAAAAGTCACGAATTAAGGTACCATGAAAAGGCTCGTGTGAAAAACACGAACGATAGATTACTGATATGCCTTGATCAAATGTAAAATGGTAGAGAAACACATTACGATATGACTGGCATTAGAAGAGATGACACATCGACGCCCCACGCGTTGGCTGGTATTGGGAGTTAAGACATGACACAAGTCTAATTTTGCTACGACTTTTTGATCCACTGTTCTATCCCATCCCAACCCCCACCCCCTCGACCATAATCTCTAGTTGTATCTGTTCCTTGCGCCATCAAAGACTTATCTTTACTAGCCCGCGGCCTTCAACTTAATCCATGACTTCATGCAGGATGCTCAGAGGAATAATCTCGCTTGCACCTTTTGCGCCTCAGGGGCGTCGGATTTGTGGGCTCATTTTTAAAAAAAAAACGAGACAACATGGTATTTGTGTGTGTGTGGTGGGGGGGGGGGGGGAGAGTTCCAATGGGACGACCGGTTCACACCTAAAAAAATGGACGGTCTAACACTGGACGTATGGTCACCCTAATTATAATGTGTTCTCACCGCTGGTATCTTAGCATCCTAGGGCAGAAAAGGAAAATGATCACTTATGCTGCTCCAACACACCAGTGTAATACCGGCAATAGTAGAATGAACATCGGAATTTAACCCCTTAAGTAACATTATTACCTGAGCTGTGAAGTGGAAAGAGAAAAGGGACAGGGAAGATAATCTGATGAGGTTTAGTTGATAGAACATTTGAGTTATGTTCTCCTTCCCAGCATACAGACTATCCCAACCAGGGATAGAACAATCCAGTTATGTTCTCCTTTCCGGCATGCAGGCGATCAGATATAGAACATTCGAGTTATTTTCTCCTTGCCAGTATACAGACGACCAGGGATAGAACATTTCAGTTATGATCTCCTTCCCGGCATGCAGACGATCAGGGTTAGAACATTCCAGTTAAGTTCTCCTTCCCAGCATACAGACGACCAGGGATAGAACATTCCAGTTATGTTCTCCTTCCCGATATACAGACGATCAGATATAGAACATTCCAGTTATGATCTCCTTCCCGGCATGCAGACGATCAGATATAGAACCTTCCAGTTATGTTCTCCTTCCCAGCATACAGACGACCAGGGATAGAACATTCCAGTTATGTTCTCCTTCCCGGCATGCAGACGATCAGATATAGAACATTCCAGTTATGTTCTCCTTCCCAGCATACAGACGACCAGGGATAGAACATTTCAGTTATGTTCTCCTTTCCGACATACAGACGATCAGATATAGAACATAAGTTATGTTCTCCTTCCCGGCATGCAGACGACCAGGGATAGCTCCTGGACCACTGACTTCTGATGCCCTGACTTAGGGGGACTTTTCATGTTGGCCACACACGCCATCCCATAGGCTGTGGCTCCCATGTCTCGTGACGGCACAATAGAACACTATTGTCTGGTAAGACAGACAAGTGCGTCTACCAACCAAGCAGACGTTGGTGTGCAATGAAAGCGGTTTTTTTTTTCTCATGGGTTTATTCGGCGCGTTAAAAGAATGTCGGGTGTGCCTGTCGAAAGGCGATAATGCCGAAAATTTTGTGAACAGGCATAACGCTACTAAGTGCAAAGCAAAGACACAAAAGGGTGAAGGAAACAGTCAGAGTTGGAGGAGAAGCAGCAGTGGGAGAAGAAAAATAAAATACGCAGAAGGAGTAGGGGAGAGAAGATGAAAGAGGAGGAGGAGGAAGAAGAAGATGAAGAAGACTTAACTATTACTAAGCATGACCCGCAAACATGAAACCCCAAGGCAGGCACTAAGTTACGGAAGAAAATTCAACAAAATCTAGCCCCCCCCCCCCCCTCCCCGTGTGGGTTCCGGGGCCTCATTGTGGGGAAAACAAGAATAGACCCACTCCCTCCCCAAAAGCATGTCGTAAGAGTCGACTAATTGGGGAGCTTCCTTTGAAGTCGGAGAGCATCTGCCGGAGAGGCAAGGGACCAACAGTCTGTATTCAAGAGAATGAGATCTGTAAAACTGATGCACACGCAACACTCAGGTTCTGGAGCAGGACTGCAGTTCAGTAGTGGACGAGCAACCAGAACCTTCCGCCAGAGTTTGCAGCTGGTGAACGCGAAGAAGAAAAAAAAGAACAAAATCCAGCCAATGTATTTGTATAAGAGGATCAACAAAACTGGCACAGCCGAGTAACATGACAACAGACAATAACTTTGCTATAAAACTTTCTCCATGTGAGCTACGGGCCTCATTTATGTTGAATAAAAGAACAGAACCTCTCCCCCCCCCCCCCTCACAAGTATGTAGTAAAAGGCGACTATGTAGGGGCGTTTCAAATGAAGTCGGAGTGCATCTGTCTAAGAGGCGAACAACCAACAGCCTGCATATAAATATGTCAGAAATGTAAAATCAATGTGCACGCAAAACTCTAGTTCTGGAGCAAGACAAGTCGAGATGTGGACCAACAACCAGAACGTTTCGTCGGAGTTTACAAGGCGGTTAACGAGAAGAAGAAGAAGAAGAAGAAGCGGAAGAAGAAAAGGCTGTACACTTTATGATATAAAAATGCTTACCTTCTTGGAGAGAAAACGTAGGACTGGAATCTGTTCTGTTTCTCACTGACTCGCGCACACACGGGAACTCCGGAACTGTCAGTGAAAGTTTTCATTGAATACACGGCATCACCGAGGGGAGCCTACCGTAGCTGCACTCGAGTCTTGTGTTTCGTCTCACTGTTGTAGTGTGCTGTTGTCTCCTCCATAGGCGTATACATGTAGAACAAAATGGGGGTTAACTTTAGACCAGTCGCCAGCAGTGAGAAAAACATAAGAAATAACCAATGCCTTCTCTGGAGCTGGCCGTGGGAATAACCGATTTAAGACAGTCAGATAAGTGTTAACCATAGGCAGTCTGGTAGTCTGGTAGTCTTAGTTTCAGCTTCATAGCAAACGGGTCGCCCCA